CCTTTTGACTTAGAACTAGTGAATATTAATTGCTTTAGATAATCTGTCTTCAGAAGTTTTCCATATTTGATTCTATATCTACAGACTATTCCTGCACTTTTTTGAAATTAATCATTTTAAAAGTAATTAAGGAGCTACAACAATGAGCAATTCTGTTGGATGCTGAGTTAGAAGGGTGGGATTCAGAAGTATATGTTCCCTATCCTCTAAGAGTTAACTTTAAGTGACAAGTTGATCACTCATAAAATAATTAGAAAATGTAGAATAATATGTGATTTTTTATTAAGTTATGTGAAAGTTAAGATGAATTCACTATAGGTTGAACATATTTGGGAAGGTTGGCTAGTCTTTGCTCAATAGACAAGTTTGGTTTAAGCAGTATTCCCAATAGGTGGGACATGTCCCATTTGAGGTATACAAGGTAATTTTTGATGGCACAAAGAATAACCTTTTAAACAACTTCAAGTTATATATTTGTTGTAAGGTTTTAAAATATAATATAATTAGTACTTCAAATCTATTATTTTATGGATAATATTACTTAAGATGAGGCTAAAGTAGGTTACTAAGCTTTAAAAATCGTGATTTAACAAACACACACACAAAGTATAGAAGGTAAGCAGACATAGCAAAAACTATGTAAGATCATTTGAATATCTGAAATTTGGGAAATACCAGATTAAAAAGGAGAGAAGGAATATATATTGCCAAGGATATGAATAAAGAATAAACATGTACTATTCATGTGATAATGAGGACGAAGTTTTAACTAAAGCGTAGGGCATGTTAGGGAATGCGGAAAGAAGCTTTGAGGGTGGAACCATATAAAGAAGATCTGAGTACAGAAACCACAGAATACAGGAAGGCTTCAAAGGATTTTAAACATAGCTGAGAAAAGATAAAAACTCTTATTTATTTAGTACTCTCTATGTACTGCTCATTATTCTAGGCAATTTACACGCATCATCTCATTTAATTCTCAGAACAATCCTATGGAGTAGATACTAATATTATCTCCTATCTTATCCATGTGTGAATGGCAGCACAGAGAGGTTAATTGGCTTCCCTAAGATCATACAACAAGTAAGTGGGAAAGGCAAGATTCAGACTCAAGTCTTTCTGTCTCTGGAGCCTAACCTTTTTTTATACCACTCTCTGAAAAATTGTTGAGACAAAGATGTACAGAATGGATTAGAAAAGAGAGCAAAACAGGAAGTGGAAAGTCTTAATGGAGGATATACAATTAATTTAAATTTAAGGTAATAAGAGCATGGATTAGAGCAGTGACAGTAAGAGTGAAAATAGAGGGTAATTTCAAAAGAATTATTTTTCTCAAAAGAGCACTTAAAACTGTAATCAGAAAGATGAAAGAGGAAATGAGTCTTCATGGATAGGAATAAATCAGTCTTTAGGGGGTTAATTTTTGTATATTTTTCATTAAAACTTCTTTTAAGTCATACACAAAAAGTATCTTTCTTCAATGAAAACAATACTTTGCAACTGGAAGAGGGGTTCATTTTTCTGAAACCTGGAGGTTTATTTTGAAGACAGGTATCAGTACAGGGAAACTTCTTAAGAACCTCTGTGAAGAAACTAAAGTCCTGAAAAGGGAAACGATTAGTCTCACAGGATATGAATTTCCAAAGAAATGGATTTTAGATAATTTCCATAAGTAGGGGTTTCCTTCAGATAAAAAACTAGCTGGTTCAGTGTACATGTTGTGAATTAACATGAATGATGGGATTCCCCCAAATTCTTGGTGATCCATGAACAATAAACAAGATGACAAGTAATAAGGAAAAGGTGTATCTTGCCTTGGTTTCTTATTTTGGACTCCTTGCTATGAGGTTTACAAGCTTCATACATGTCACGAGGACTGATCATTGAGAAAATGGAAGAATAAGAGGAAAGTATATTTGTGCCTCGTCTTCCTTTGCTAGTCTTTTTGTTCAGTTTTTGCTCCAAAGATATAGTGCTTTTCCAGTCCCTCTGGGTTTCCGTTGTCACAAAGGAATGTGGTCTGGGTAGATTCTTACAGGAAGGCTTTTTAGGAACTGAGCACTGCAAACACAAGAAAATAGATTTCAAGTGTCTGGAACTTCAGGCACTGACAAGCAGCAAAACTTATTCAAATCAGTAGCAGTTTTCAAACTTTTTGGTTTCAGACCCCTTTACACTCTTAAAAATTATTTAGGGTCCTAAGAGCTTTAATTTATATGGCTTTTATCCATCAATATTTATTACATTTGGCATTTAAAACTGATATTTTAAGAATATTTATTAATCTGTTTAAAATAATAATAAATCCTTTAATGTTAATATAAATAACATATTTTATAAGATATAACTAACTTACCAAAAAAGTAAGAAGAGTGACATTGTTTTACATTTTTGCAAACCTCTTTAA